ATGCGTAGTGAGAAAATTGGTTTAAGAGATGTAATAACGAATTTGAACTTTAAAAAGTAAAAAAAATAAAAAATAAAAAATAAAAAGTGAAACATTCAAGCTATAATATTCATTTAAATATATTGTACATAAATAATTACAATGTTATTCAAAATAAATTATAGATATATATTTTTTTAAATATAAGAATGTTTTTATCTCAATAAACTTTTAAATTAATTTTGCACATTTTTGCATATTTTAAATATTTAATTGCAAAAATATAAAATCTCTGTTTTGATAAGTATCAATTTCGCGCTTACTTTCCTTTCTTCTTTTTTATTATTATCGTTAATCGCATTTAATTCTTTACAAACAGAATTCTGTCCCATGTTAATATCTAAAATTTGTTACATGAAGGGATTATATTTTTTAATCAATAAATAAGCATTAATTCCATAAATTATGCAGCCAATTATAATTATATAACTCCTACGTATTTATATATATATGAAATTTGTATTTCTCGCCTACGGATATTGCTGAAAAAAAATGAAATTTTATATTATATTTCGCCCACATCAAAATAAAACAAACAAAATTTAATTAAAGAGAGCATAAATTAACGTTTCTAATTTCAAATATCAATTTTAAATATCACAATGTTTAATCTCTACAATAAATACCCAAAATTTTCATCATATAATTTCATTAATCATTCAATATAAAATTTTATCAATAATAAATATATCAAATCCCGTTGGAAAGATAACAAATTTTTAATGATGATTATACAAAAGAATATTGTCAAAAGATTTAATCGATTCCGAGAAATCATTTGATCGTAAATGAAATTTGTGTTAGGCAAACTCGTGTAAAGATTTCTAATTAAATAGCTTCCATTCTTGAGATTAATAAATCAGACCTATAAAATTTCTCCACCGAACCCGTGACATTGATTTATTTCTTTTCGATTAGCCAAATTGTGGATGCATGCGGTATACATATATCGAGAAGAGAAGTTGAGCTCATTCGCAGAGGTTGTAGATCAGAAGAGAATTACAAACAGAGCGAGAAAGACACAAAATGTAAGAGAGGAATGGGAGAAGAAGAAGGTAAGAGAGAAGTGAGAAAAAAGGAGAGGGATAGGAACAGGAGCGAAGCTAGAGAGAGAGAAGCCTGATAGTGCGCCACCGTACGCCACCACGTGCATCGACCGAGGTCTTTGTCACTGGATACCACCGGTAGAGTCGGTCGATTTCTCTCCCTTTGCTAAGCTACTTTTTGCACACAATGTCCCGGTCCGACGGCCAACCAATCTTATCTCGCGTATCGAGCGATGCTCTGATCAAGATATCAAAAATAAAATTTGCCAGAATCGATAATTAGTCGCGAAAACGAATAAAATCTCTATTTCTTTTTTCGACAAAAAAATTCACTATTTTAATTGATCTCTTGCATATATATTATAAATAAGAATGAATAAAATTACAAAGCGAAATCGGTCAACTGTGCGCAAAGGATTAAAAAAGCAAAACAACTCAGAGACGAGGAATAATGTTTTTAAAGAACGCGAGGCAAAGAAAAATTTCCCGATATTTATCGGACTGATGTTGGAGTCACAACAGAAGTGAACAGCGATGACATCGAAAGCACCTCGAGCGCGATTCTCCACCGAGGCAAATAATCGAGCAGTTGTGGCGATGGCCAGACTCGCTTTAAAAGCATCTGACGATGTCAGTGATGGACATTTATTGACACAACATTCGCGGATCGTAGCTGCCCGCAATGGTTATCGACTGCACAATGACGGATATCCACTGGTCGAAGAAAACACGTGACTCAATCCCTTTTATTCATTCTCTTTGTCTCACACACACAGCATCCATCCGGCTGCGCCGCGCAACCAGACTCTCTCTTTCTCCATTCTAGCAAAACCAATTGCACGCTTCTCGATATAACTGGCCGACCTACCGTCCAAACTAATTACAAACTACGTTTTCCATTGAGAAACAAACGTTCACTCGCTGCTCTCCGATCTCCGTTTATTATGGATTTTTTGTCAAAGAATCGTGTCCAAGAATTGTAGGAAAGAAACGAAAGCGAAAAATTGCACGGTCAATCTTCGACGTGCTTCTTCGATACCTTCGGGACTCTTCGACAATCTTCGTTCACAGGTTGTCAACTTTCTGGTAAGAATCCAGTACGACGTTTTTTCGTAAAATAAAATTATAAATTTTTTTTAATGCTAAAATTATTAGATTTATGAATTCTCTATTTTTGTAATTTATATTGATTTTGATTGATAAAAGAAATTATAATATTTTTGATTATAGATACTATTACATATTTTTATTATAGGTATTTTCAATATTATTCTGATGTTAACTTATAAAAATTTGAAAATAAAATTAGTATCGAAAATAGAAACGCAATTTTAATTTTTTTCTATCTATTAAAACAATTTTTATATATGAATTTATTATTCATTATAACTGATAATTATATATTTTATGACTACGGATATAAACGAGCGAGCAACGCGTTAATTATGAAATATTTATGCAAAAATGTGAATTCCAGACATCGACAATTCCATGATTTATCGAATCAATGATACAAATACGCGATAAATATTCGACTAATGCAATGACGAGGTTGCAGTTCCCAAGGAAGCCTTACCGAAGAGATTTGCATCATTCAGATTATTCAATTATGCGTCCGTTATGTTTTATCCTTTTGCATAGTGTATAGATAATAAAATCATTTAATTTATTTATTCACATTTATTTGGATTATTAAATTAATAACAAAAATTCTAATAATTAATGTCTATGCATACCGCATCAGATGGATACACAGATACGCATTTTTTCATGGTACAACTGATTATGACTCATTGAAACAATAGGAGAAAACAGCAAGGCTTACGTTTCAATTAAAACTTTAGCCTTGTACGTCAGAGCAACCATGTTCAGCTTCCTCTGCCTGTAAACTAAAAAGTTTTGTTTTCTGCCGTCCCACTCAGTACAAAACAATCCTTGAAAATAAATTTTTTTCAATTCACAAAGTAAAAACAAAAAGAATGGCCTATTCAAAATAAATTTTTGGAGAAAACAATCCAAATCTAATTATTTAAAACAATTTTTATTAATAATAAAATGTAAAAGAGTAGCACAAATTATCATTCGTCTAATTTATGATAAAGATAATTTGATGACCCGAAAATTTTTGTCTTTAAATTTAAATTACTAAAAAAGAGAATTTTGTTTTATTAACATTGGAAAATTGTCAGGAATTTTAAAATGGTTTCAAAATGATTTAAAATTTGAAAATAAGGATAAATTTATGTTTGTATCGCGTCTGAATATAATAGTCACTTGTATCGAAATTTAATTATCGAATATAACTATAGATATTTACAAATTCTCACTTTTCCCATAAAAATGCCAAAAATAATACATAATCATTTATCTCATTTATGCCAATATCCATATATATTATAAAATATCGATTATAATTCTATAAAATTCTATAATACACATCATCGTCATCATATGTGAATATATAGAAGTAAAATAAATAATCACAATTATTTTATTATTATCTAGTTATTTATAATAGCTATATTATAATTATTTGAAATAATTTTTTTGAGAATTGAAAAACTACATATGATAACACATAATTATCTATAATTATATATATATAATTACTTATAATAATCAGTAATTATAGGTAATTACTAACATTTTAACTTGTAAAATGGAAATTCATTAAAATAAATATAAATTCGTGTTTAAAGGAATACCTAATCTTACCAATTAGATAATAGTACCAATAGTCGGTTGCTTTTTCATCGTCATGACAACCAGGTTAAAGAATATCGGAATCACGAGGATCTAACCTAACTGCAAGCATAACGGCTCTTGTGTCACGCTACTTCCCTTTCCCTGTTTTCTTCCCCTCGCAAACCATGTCGAATTGGTATATTGCATTGCTAGGACAACAGAGAAGACTCTTGATTAAACGAAACGCAATTCACGAGATTCAAATCGCGATTCAATGGATCCTGTAACGTTTCTTACTTTTCTCGCAATATTTAACCTCTCTTCTCATTCCCCCCTTCCTATTCTCTCCGGCTGTCTGTGAGCGAAAAGACAGTATGGCGGAACGATCCCGGTATCGTCGTTCGTCACGTGAACTTTTCTGTCAACTTTCGAATCAGTCTACTCGTAGCCATTCTCGTTTGCACACGATTGATTTCCTGAAACCAGCCAGCAAGGGCTCCGCACAATCCTCGTAGGTATACACGCGCATATCTACACGTTTGCACGCAGTACATATATTGAGGCAATAAGAGCGACAGAGAGCGAGAGATACGCGAGGGCAAAAGTGCGATAGAGAAAGGGAGAGAAGAAGCAAAGGGGGAAAGGACAAAGCGTCGACGCGCTCGAAGTTCGGGCGTACCTCCTATCCCGTAGAAACGTGCATACATTCCTCTTTCTCTTTCTGTTTCTCGGTCCGGCGTTTTCTGTCTCCGATACTCACAGACGTACGTCCCATCTCTTTCTCTCATTCCAGAATACGTGCAACATCGAACACACATACATACACACACGCACGCGCGCACGTATCGCGATGCCAGTTGCACGCGTTTTTTCCTCTGGCCGGTTTTCTACGCGAAATAAAGCATGGGCACAAGATCAAATACGCAGGCAACGTGTATGTACGCGAAGCTCATTATCAAGCGATTCGAAGCGAGCATGACAGTCGAGCACGACGAAAACAAACAGTCAAGGATGAAAGGGTTAACGCGAGGACAGGAGAGAGAACATGAGCATGAATATGAATACGAAAACACGATGATCGAAGCGTGAGATGCAGGAGAACGAACTGCATATTCGCTGCTAGAAAAAAGCCAGTCTTTCGTATGGTGAGCGACATACAAAAAAAGGACAGGGAATCGCTGTCGAACGACTTGAATCGCGAGAAAAAATAAAAACTAGTCACTTGCTTACCCTACTGCCGGAAAAGTCGTGTAAGGAAACATTCTTGGACGCGGTCACTTCCAGGATCCTCGTCGTTTGGTTCTCAACCAGTATCTCCTTAGTTCCTTTTCTTCTACCTTCTTTTTTGCACTATGTTTCGATGTCACAAGTTAAACGAAACACACACAAGCACACGACTTGATGTAGGCACACAAGTTCAAGGTCGTGACGATACAAATATAATATAACCACGCTATGCACGATCGTACGAGTTCGTTCTCGGTACCGCCAAAACAACCACGACCGGCTAATCTTCGCGAAACCACACACCAGCCAACTGCCGAGCGTTCGAGACAAAGGGACTGTTATGCTGGTATTCGACTAGCGTTGCCTCCGCAAACGGAGGAACGAAAGAAAGGAACGCCGTGATGACAGCAACGACGAGTTGCCAGTCAAGACCGGCTTTGACGCGGTAACAGCACCCACGATTGATAGGACGCGAGTCACCGCGAGACCGGAAAACACGAGAAACGCACGCCGGCTACTCTGTCTCCCTCTCTCATGCACTCTCCTTCTTTCTCTCTCACTGTCTCTCCCCCTTTCTTCTTTCCTCGACAGTTTTGTAGGTTAGTCCAAACGACCGGCCAGACGATAACGGCGTCGCTGCGCGTCTCTCCAGTCCTCGCACTTCACAGTGTGGCAGCTGTGCGCTCGCCTCCTCGATTTGTTGGTGGGGGAATCGTCGAAGGTGGAGGGGATAGGCGAAGGGATCTCTAGCATGGAGAACCGACCGCACGGACCGACGACGAGTATAATGTCGGGGGAGGGGGGATTGGCCGAACCAAGGGATACACTGCGAAGTAGGGGTAGGTTAGGTTGGGACACCTGGAGGGAGAAGCGAGCGCACCCCTATGCGAACGCGGCCGTGGCGCGTACTACGAAACAGGCGCACGCACACGGAGAATGTACGCCGGTTCGCCAATTCCTCTGCCCTTCGCTAAGAGACTCCACGCCTCGTGCTGTTCGACGCGGTCGAGTCCAGTCTTTGCAGTGGTGCTCACTAAATACTTCCCAACTTCGACTAACCGTTTGCTTTAACGATGCTGATGAATATCGGTTTTCCAATTCTATACGGTTCACAAGTGGCAAAACTTTTCCTATCCCGTTAATAACATCTATTATTATTGGCATTGTCTATTGATTTATTCATCATTTCATCAAATAAACAAATGAGTGTTAACAAAATTCATCATGCATGTATTTATTACAATGTGATTGTTTCTCTGTACTGAATAAAATTTTAATAGATTTTAAATCGGGAAAAATGAAATGTATAAAAATTGAACGATAAATATATTATCCGATGTACGTCGAAGTGTTAGTAGTTTCGCTATTTCGAAACTGTATAAACTTGCGTTTATTTTGATGGCACGATAGTAGATGACCAAGATAGTTATGTACGTCTATCGCACACATATATATAGAGAAATGTGTTTCTTTTGCTTTCAAGCCCTTTTACGAGGACACTTCATTTGCTGAGGGCTCTCGTGTTCGTGCAACGAATTACATTGCTGGAGACGAAAAGAATTAAGAATTCTAATTGATGACACGCTTTACGCTCGTTCGAATGTATATATCACGCATTTCTGCTAGGTCGCTTCTATTACCGACATATTCCAGATTTCGAGGTCGTGAATCGAACGAAAATGTGAAAACAGATTTTTAGGTTAACTTTTTCTATGAATTTTTTCTCACATCAATTTTCAATAAAAATAGAGAAATTTGATGTTATTTCAATATTATTTAGACTCGAATTTGTTTCGTTATGAAAATTGATTCACCAACAAATTAAATATGATACTAAATTCATATTCGGTTAAAATATTCAATGTTGTATAAACGTAGATTCTATGCCAATAATTCCTATACTTATTTTCTCCGAAGACAATACAGTTACTAGAACGCATAATACGCTTTTCCGGAAGCATTGTTCGTTCGTTTTTCATGATCGCGAGGAAAAACATTTTTACAAGAAGCGATCAAGAACGCCTCGGTATTCTCGACCGACACGTGCGCCTTGACACAAAGGGACGTGGGTTTGATGGGGAAATCGACATCAGACGAGGAACATTATGATCCAACGCCATAACTTATGTAACTGTATAATACACATGGTTCATAGATATATAAAAGGAAGAGACTAAACAGAGGAAATGAGTGGGAAAATAATGCCTAACATTAGATAGATATATTTTTTCAGACTCTACTTTCTTTCGACAGTACGGTTATACTGCCTTTTTCGATTTTCTTGGAATATTACCTTCAACAAAAAAAGGCTATATTTGTCTATGTACCGGCGTATACCTAACTTGTCACTATAAATGTGATTGCACTTTTTCTCAGGCCTAATCCCTTGTACCGTTCGCCGTCTCTCTGCTAGAGAAACGTACGGTGGAATGTCAAGAGGGCAGGTCAGGATCGAGACTAGCTGGCCGGTCTCCAAATCGCTATCCAGATTCTGGACGTGCGTGCCTCGACCCAAGGTAAATGTGTCGGCGTTATTTGATGACCATCCGTCGGCAAACTTATGGGACATAAAAAGGCTGCGAATTTTATATCGCAAAAAAATATAATCATCTATATGACGTAGAATCAATGGACGTGGATGAATGGATCGAGCATTCCCGATCGAATATGAATGAAAAATAATCTTTATAATTTCGTTTAAAAGCACGATTCTAGATTTTATTTCGAAAATCCGTGAATGAAGATCGAACAAACGTATTGTTCCCATTGTCGATATATTTTTCATTCAATTCACGGATATCGATCCGGTGTCCATCGATATTACGAATATCGATACGATATTCAAATAACACGGATACACGTTCTAACCAATATCTAAATGGTGCAAATGTACAATATCACGGCTTTAATCTCGCGAAGTACACACCGTATTTCCGTATAAACTCATTTATTTCCGTATGTGTAATTATTTAAAGAATCGTTTTTGCGCTTCTGTGACGATATCACATCGATTAATGATTCTCGTGGTAAGAACGCGAATTTTGGAATTGGAAAAAAAATAAAAAAAATAGAAACGCTAGATGGATCTTCGACGTCTGATGGGAAGAAGAGAGAGAGAAAAAGAGAAAAGAAATACGATTTCTAGATTCGACAGGGACAAAACGCAGGAAGTACTCTCGGACTTCCTCATCCGGGTAACATGAAGCTCGTCGAGGGCGAGGAGACAGCTGGGGTGAGTGACACAGTCGTAGTGCTTCTGACGTCGCCGGTTGAAACCTGTAAGTACTCCCCCGTTTCGTTTCCTGACTTCGAGACACCGCGGACGCGCGATTTTATTACGTAAATTGAATTTACACGACACGATACGATACGATACGACTTGGCGCGCGATCGATTCGCAAGCGCCATCCTTCGGGAGATAACTTCGCGAATCGAGCTAACGAAGTATGCTCGTAATTGATTTCTATCGAATGGATACCCCGAGGACGTTAAAAGCTTCGAATCGTGGTATCCGATGCGAGGTATTCTCTTTGGGAATGTTCCGATTTTGATGAATACGCGATAAGGAAGTTAGATCGATTTTGGGCGAAGGATTAATTACAATAATACGAAGGGGTGCACGTGAAAACATTGTTGCAATTTTCTTGCGGTAACGGCGTTATAAATAAGGATTTAAGCGACGCGGTGACAGTCAAAGGTGAATGTGTGTATATATATAAAATAATATTATATATATAAAAAAATATTTATATATATAAAATAATATTGTATAAAGTATATATATATATATTTTAGAAATATGAATTTATTTGTAAGTGATTGATAAACAATCTCAAATGTTATATCGTTAAATAAGTTCTGCGGTTATTTTTCTTGAAATATTTTATCTAATGTTTTCTTTTATTTTTCGTAACGTGTATCAAGATATCAAGTTTGTTGATCAATTTTATTGTTTGGAATTTAATCAGTAGGTATGGGTATCGTTAAATATTTGCATTTTTAATATGATATCATTTAAATTAATATACATATCGATTCAAAACTTTAAACAATTGAATGCAATTTAAATAGTTGTTTTATTGATTGTTCTATTATGAAACAGAGTTATAATTGTGCTTCAATTCAACATCTAATATGCTTCTCTTATGCATATTTAAGATAGAAATAGATTGTACGCTCTATTTTTCGTATCATGATATGAAATCAAATTTCTTATAATTTCTATTTATTTGTTTTACTTTCTAGTATTCCTTAATTTTTCTATCTATTTTGTTAAAATATCTAATATAAAAAAATTATTGCTAATAGAGTTTTCGAAAAGATAACAAAAAAAAAAATAAATAATTAATCGTTAATGTTAAAAATTTAAATCGAGAAATATAAATTAATGAAAATCAATTAATAATTTTAATTACGATAATTTTAATTTTGCTTTCTTCTCGTGAATAAGGTATGTTGAATTTGTTATACCAATCTTTGATTAATATTATTTTCAATGAAGTTACACAACACGTTAAAAATTAATTAAAAATTCATATAATTCATATAATTTTCAACGATCTAATATTTAGTTTTTAAACTTTTTTCTTTTAAATTAAATTGAAAAATCTCTGAGAACTTTTTAGAGATCTAGAAGCACTCTAATTTATTTTTCTTCATAAAGAAAGAATACAAAATTTCAGATTTTTTCAGACGCTTCCAAGTGCCAGAATGTTTTAATAATTGAAACTGTTAATATTCAATTAGCAAGTATTCGAATTTAAATTATTTGAAATTCATCTCGTTGAAATTTTGCACAATATATAGAATATTGATTTTAAGTGAGAGTAAAATCAATCTTCAAAATTTATTTTTTTCAATTTTGAATACAATTTCAATTTCAATATTTTTCACAAATACAGATCGACAACAGAGCGCTAAAAACAAAACATATTTTTAATTTAAAATTCTACTTTATCTCGTATTACCATAGAGATATTTAAAAGAACGAGACGGGTATTAAAACTTCTGATATCATTTCCTTAAAGTGATATTTTATCAGAAAAAAATTGCTTCATGAAAAATTCATTTTACTCTACATAAATATAAACTTTTAATATAATCAGAATTTTCGAATAAGGTGAATTTCTTATATAAAATAAGGTTCGAATATTTTAATTGTTGCTGACTGTATAAATAAATATAAAAATATTACTTATTTATTAAGTTTAATTCGCAATTTAATTCGCGTTAGATAAAGCGAGGAACAGAATGCAAAGATGGTGTATGACAGAGACAGACTCTATTCCCATCTTTTGCTTCATCCAACGCATATTTCAATTGTTTATAAACTTAATAAATAAACTTTAATTAACTGGCATTTTTATGTACAGTAAGTTTTATATTTTAGTCTTTTAGAATCGTCCTTCCATAAATATATTAACACTAGAATGTCATAAATCTTCTGGATCTGGTCAGGTCAGAATTCCAGAAAGTTTGTAAAATTACCTGCTATTTTGGGTATCCAAAATTGTAGCTGATTCGAATTCGGTTTAGTTCAGAAACTTTGTAGCTATGCAAGTAGAATGCTTTTTCTTAATTTTAACAGTCAAATTTTGTATTTTTTTTTTTTTTTAATAATAATC